AAGTTGGTAGAAATCATCTATTTCTTCTTCTTTGGCTCTGGTTGTTGGTGCATATATCTGAATGATAGTGGTATTCACTGGACTTCCTTGTAAGCATATAATTCCCAGTTAAATAAGAAACGACTAGTTAATAATGGTTTGCTGTTTTCTTCAGTCCAGATATGTGTCAAGGCTACAATTCTTTGAAGATTTAGTTTCTTACAATAAAGGCAATTTATTTAAAGCATACATCTTAGAGATAATTGAGAGATTACTTTCAAGGTTAGTACAACTTTTATCAGTGACCGTAATTCAGTAAAATGATAAAGGAGTATGTTTAGGAATATGAAACCTGAGATCCAAGTACTAATTTTGAAATGTTTCTTTTTGGCAACTCAATTCTTTGGAGCCTTCGCACTTCATTTTTTACACAGGAATAAAAGAGAGGCTTAATATTTATTAATCTATTTTCTCAAGAATGGAAAATCAGTAGTAATATATATTATAATTAATAGCCTGGTGAAGAACAAGCATTTTAAAGAAAATTGAGAGAAAGGGAGGAAAGTATGTATGAATGAATGAATGAATGCAAACCAATATATTGTGAATCTTAACTAACATAAAAACTTAAAAAATATAAAAAGAATGGATTTCTTGAGAATTTAGATTGTATTGGATTTGTTGAAGTAATTATTAAGGAAATAATTAAGAGAAGGGATGAAAAATCTTTTGTAAAAATCCAAAGTATTATGTGTCAGTTAATAGTTATTACAAATATGATTAACTGCACTTCCATTTCTCCTCTTAAAAATAATTATACTTCTTACCAGTCTTGGCATATCTATTTAGAAGCTGCAGAAATGGAGTGAATATTATCCAGAAATTGCCTTCAGAATAAGTATTTTTTTTTAAAAAATGCTCACATAAGTATAAATGAAAAATGTAGGCACATTCCATTAAGCCAAGTACCATGCATTCTTTTAACTTTGATGACTCCTGCGTTAAAAGATTGCTCAAGTTATAATGAATTCAACAAGCTCATTCTTGCATAGTTTTTTAGCCAAATTCCTATTTGAATAGTGAAAGGGACTCTTTCTGGTAAATCTAATTTGCTGAGTGGACATGATGCAAATGATAACCTATCTTGAATTGAACATTCTTTCTTCATACAGAAATGTGAGCAGTTGAAATTTCTGCCAAAAAGGTATGACACTTCAAAAAAAAAGTACTTTAAATTATTTATAATATTTTATGGCAAGTAAAAGTGTATGGGATGCTCTATTGTTTCTGCTATTATTATGTGCCATCTAGTCGCTGGTGACTCATAGCGACCCTATGGCCAATAGCTCTGAACCCTGCCCTCTCCTGAGCCAGTCTCACTAGCAACAAAATATAACAGCAGTAATTACGTGTTTGAACCTTTAAAATGACTCTGTAGTAGGCATATCAAGGCTAGCTTACTAAAAATTAAGTATAGGAAATTTGAATGCTGAGTTAAATGTAAAATTTCTCTTCATTATTTGTTCCAAATCTAAACGTCATTTTAATTTCATCTTAAAATATTAATTCAATCTTATTCTTTTTAAATTTTTGATACTTTGCTGGTTCTTTTCAGCCTAAATAACAGAGCACCCCCCATTTTCTTATAGGATGAACCATTTCCTCTAAACCATTAATTGAATTGGCAAGATGGTACAGAGTAAATGTTATGCTATTAAAACAAGTACATTTATAAAATTTGCAATAACAAAACCAAATAGCAAAAAATGAAAATGAAATATTAAGCTTCTGGGTTTTTCAAACACTCTGTTTTCTGCAATTGAATTAATTACCTGCCACCCCTCTGGATTTTCACTGGAGCAATTTTGATAATTCACAATAAGAGTTTGTATAACTGATTCCAGCTCTTGATATATTCATTTCATAGATAGGTTATGCTGTCCTCTGGTTTACAAATATAAAAAAAAAATAATCACCTTGGTTGGAATCCTATCTATGTCGCTGGTATCTTTTGGGCTGATGTAGTTGTGGTCACAGAAACAAGACTTCTCCAGATTATTTTTCCCCCTATTTCTATGTTGTTTTAAGTACTTTTACATGTACTATTATGCCCACAGGTAACAGGAAACCAGTATTTCAGAAGAAAACTTGATCACATTGCTAGATAACCCAGGTATCCTAAACAGGTGCGTGAATGCCTGGAGGCTCTCACTGTTGCTGCCAGAAGTACATATTTTTTTGATTGGTAAGAACTGCCAGATGACGCTTCATGAAATATAAATGCAAGAAGGGCTCAGAGGGTGCAATAAAAACCTTCCACCCGTCAGTCTGGAAGGATCAGAGAGAGGCAGGCACGTTTAAGCAACTGCAGGAAATGGCTTTTGGAGTCCTGATATCTGTCTACCTTTTATTCAATGGTAGGTAATTTCTTTATTTAATTTTGTTAACTTTCTATTAGTAGAAGACAATTGGATTTATTTTCTCTGAATTAAAGAGAATTTGGCTTGTAATTGTTGTTTTTAATGACAAAGCAGAGAATGTAATGTAAGTTCCTCTCCTGGTTGAATTGACATTTCTATTTTTGAGACAGAATCAACTGTTTGTTTTACACATTTAAGATTAGTTAATATATTTAACTACTCCACAATAATGTCCTCGTGGTTGAGTTATGTATAAAGTATACACTTTCACGTAAATATTAGTGTGTTTCTACGGGCTATGATATGATTATAGATGTCAAGAGAATTACTTTGAATGAGAAAGGGGAAATGACCCTAGTCAGAGTTTAGACTGCCAGTGGAAATGAATGAAAAATAGAACAGAAATAGGAATCTATTGAGTAAGAGCAGCTTTGAACCTGGTGCTTGCACATAGAATGAAGTTTGTGTGTTAAAGATGCTTTTTCCTCCACCTGATACAGCAATGGCGGCATTTACTGAAGAGGCGTCCATCACCGTAACCCCACCAATCACAACTCAGCTAAGTAACTGGACAGTTAACAAAACAGAAGGTATTTTCTTTGCATTTTTGCAATTCAAGAGATTTGTTTAAATGTGTGAGGGAATTATGAATCCTGATAAATGAAGTATTAAAAAAATCTAAATGTCTATTTTATTATTTGTGAATTCTTATAGCATGATTTTGTTCAATGAAAGTGACAGGTAAATGTGTCAGAAATTTGCCTTTTTAAAAGGAAGAGGGAAACAACATTTGTCTTTAGTTACTGTCCTGAATGTGAAATACTTCACATTTTCTGCTTCTTTCTTACATGGCTCCCAATGACCCACTCATGTTTAGACCCTGTTTAACCTTCTTGGTGGGTGACATCATATTTTGGTCTGTGATCGCATGTTTACTAGCCAACAAAAATTATGGTCCAGAGTGAAGCTTTTATCCACTTTCCATCTTTGCACATTTATGTCAAGAGGTGGGATTTTTTTTAAAATGCATCTTCTATATTCACTAACCACTGTTCCTATTCTTTTTGGTTGGTGATACTAATGGTATGTTTTCGTTTCTATTTTATGATTATTATTACAATTCTTTTGGCTACTGTTGAGCATCAGCATTTATACAAGCCTGTTTGAACTCTTGGAGGTGAACTCAGAAAGCTTGTTGCCTGCCAAGATCTGTGTATTAGGTGGTTATAATTTTCACTCAAGCAAGTAACCTACCTCACTTATGTAAAGCCAGACAAATAAAAATTACTTAATAAGAAAACATGTTTCTAACTATGAAAGATGACAATGTTTAATTAAGTGAGGTAAGTTCCTCATTTCACTTAAATTTTAAAACATTTACTTTAAAATATGTTACCCATTAGCTGTTTCAGTATCTGGCAATTTGCAAACATAATTATTGTGGATCTTAGAATAACTTTAATTGTTAAGACTGAGCCGTGGGTTGTTTCTGGTTTCTTATATAGATCTTAACAGTAAATTTTTCTGGAATCATTTAGGGAAAACACCTCTTTTCAATTAGTTACTCCTGGCTGTGCACAACAAGGGGAAAAGAAAAAGAAATTAAGTTCATTATCTTACAACCAGAATGTTCTAAGTTCTGATTTCTTAAATATAGAGGGGGAGACAGAAAAATTCTATGATAGCCTATGTATTTATTAGTATAATTAGCGTTTGGAATTTGATAAGCAATGAGGCCTGTTTAAGACTAGAATCAATGCTGCCACCTTTTGGCAAACTTGCCTATATAGATCTTATTATGCAGTTTCTAAAGAATGGAACAATTCTCAATTTGCCTCCACTCCCTAATTAATTAATTATATGTCTAGATGATATTAATTCCAACCCCAGGAATACAACCTTGAAAAAAGAGAAAAAGAAAACAAGAGCTCAAAGAGAGAGAGAGCATACAGAAAATATTTATTTTTTTTAATTGTGAATTGAGTGAAAGTTTATAAAGCATATTGTGTTTTTCCAATTTGTCATCTGTGCACATTTTGTTCCATAATATTCTTTAAAATGCATTCAATGTCTGATCATCCATATTCCAAATTTGCTTCCACCACCTTAATAAGTTATTTGTTCCTGTTGTTAGGTGCCATCAGGTCAAGTACAATTCTATGAAAACAGATCTGATCCTTGCCCTGTCCTGTGCCATCCTCATGGTCTTGGTCCAGCTCAAGCTCCTAGCAGTCTTTCTCTTTGAGGGTCTTCCTATCTTTTGCTGATCCTCTCTCTGCCTTTCTCGGCATGATGTCTCTCTCTAAAAGCTGATGCCTCCTGAAAATATGGGCAAAGTATATGAGATGGTTTCATCATCCTTGCCTCTATGAAGTACCCTGATTGGACTTCCTAGAATACAGATTTTTTGTTGTTGTTATTCATTTAGCAGTTCATAGTATAGTCAATGTTCTTTGTCAACACCACCGTTCCAAGGTATTAGCTTTTCTTCTATCATCCTCATTCATTGTTCAACTGTCAGATGCATAAGAAGCAACTGAAAATATCATGATTTGGATCAGGCATACCTTAGCCTTATTAACTTTAGTAAGTGTTTATTATTTATAAATTAATTTTTAACTCTCTTTCCTCACCATGGCAACCATAATAAAATTATTCTCTCAGTATATAAAGGTTTCTCTAGCTTTTTATTCTTAAAAAAGAAATCACCTTTTTATATATGTTAAAAATGATGATAAAAGTATGACCCTCATCATCTGTTATTATTGTAATCTCCTTTTCCTAGCTGATGCTACAGAAAGACCCATAACCTTAAAGTTCTCACCGCCTTGCCTGGAAGACCACAACAGTTATTGCATCAATGGTGTTTGTACATTCCACCAGGAGCTGGAAAAAGCTATCTGCAGGTAATCTCAGAGAATTTTTTAGATTCTAGAGACAAAAGACGATGAATTTATGCCTCTAGTGTTTCATATGGCATATACCTCCTCATCTCTGTCTTTCTGGTAAAATAGGCATATGATCTGAACACGGTGTGTGTTTCATTACCTAAAGTCTTTTTCTATGACAGCAAACCCTTATTTTCCCAAAGTATGCCTTCCAGATTGTTGGTGGTTGTTAGGAGTCCTTGAGTCAAATACAACGCAGTGTGATGCTATGAACAACAGATCTGAACCCTGTCCTATTTTGAGCTATCTTCATCATCTCTGACACATTTAGTATCACTGCTTCAGTCACTGTGTCAATCCACCTAACCGAGGGTCTTTCCCTCTTTCATTGAATCTCATCTTCCCAAGAATGATGTCTTTTTCCAAGGAATAACCTCTCCCAGCTACCTGCTCAAAACATGTGAGACAAAGCTTCACCATCTTTATATCCAAGGAGCAACCTGGCTGCACTTTTCCCAAGTTACATGTTTGTTCTTTTAGCAGTCCATTACCAGATGAAATCCAAACATTTGTTCAAGTTTCATGATACATTCTAGATTACTGAAACAGAGTCTTCATTCTCCTGCCTTGGTAAGGTGATTAGAACATCCCTTACCATTTTGAACATTGAAAATATCAAGACAAAATCACTGTAAGACATGGGGACAAGAAATGCTTTTCATTCCATCAGTAATATCATGTTTTATTAAACTTGTTATCACATTGCTAGAAGATCAGGATTCCAGTTCTGTTTCTGCAACTCTGGCACTAAACTCTGCTGTCTCAGCTTTCCAATTTATATTCAGATTGCCACAGGATTGTTTATAGGATCACATGAGACAGATTACGGCAAAACACTTTAAGGATCTAAGGTTCTAGAACAATACAAACCAGTTTACCAGTTTCTGTTGCATTGGTTCCATTCTTGGATACGTTATTATGTCAGAGTAAACCTGTATACCTTTAGTTTCCAGTGGATGAGTTTCAGAAGCAGAGAGGCAGCCTTTTTTCCCCAAGGTGCCTCAGGATGGATGCAAACCACCAACATTCCAGTTTGTTCTAATCACCTTATGGAAGAGTAGGTGAAAGATTTTCTAGATGAATTCCTATGACCATACTACTTTTCTCCTCTACTAATCAAAGAAGTTATGTTAAATGATTATAAAATACCTTCTTTGTTACTTTTAACTGGTTGACTTCAATTTAATACTTAACTTCTCCTATTCAAATTATGTATGGTGGCTCATTGGGAGTTGCATTGCTAACCCAAAGGCCATGATTTTCCAGAGGTTAGAATCTACCAGTGGCTCTAAGAGAGAATGACGGGTAATCTCCCCTAGGAGATTCACAGCCTACAAAAACCTATAGCTACGAGGGTCAACTATGGAATGGGTCCCACTTGACTGCAGTGAAGTTGAGGGGTTTTGTGGGACTCAACTTCCCATTAAAATAGTTTTAATTGTTTTAAATTGGTCGTTTCTAAAAAAAAAAATAAATAAATTGGTCGTTTCTTTTTCCTTAGTCATCATGGATTTCAAAATAGAATACTGTTTTCTTTTTTAAGGTGTTTGACTGGTTATACTGGAGAAAGATGCGAGCACTTGACTTTAACTTCTTATGCTGTGGATTCTTATGAAAAATACATTGCAATTAGCATTGGAGTTGGATTACTATTAAGTAGTTTCCTTGCTATTTTGTATTGCTACACAAGAAAGAGGTAAGAAAAAGACAAAAATTTAAGATAGTCATTTATTTGACAAATATTCAGTAAGCCCTTACAATACATCAGGTATTAAAGTGTAAATTATCAGGGAAAATATGACCTAACCAGGCAAGTTCTTATATAATATTTGTTGTCATATCTTTTCTCATAAACTCAGAAAACTAGCTAAAAAGCTATTTTGAATTGCAGTGGGATAGTTACAATTTAAAAATTCCCTTCATTCTTACCACTCTCTGCCTACATCAAAGTTAAAAGCAGAAAGATTAATAAGTTTTATGGAGAAGGGACTACCTATGTTTTAGTCTCAGTTCTATGTTCATTGCCTAAGTGGGGTTGCTAATCAATTAGCTGGTGGTTCGAATCCTCAAAGAGAAAAGATCTGACATTCTTCTTCCATAAAGTTTCCAGCCAAAGGAACCCTCAGACAGAGTTCTGCTCTGTCACATAGACTCACTATAAATTGGACAACAAGAACAATGATATAATAAGGGATCTCTCACAACCTAGGGGCAAGAAGCTGTGCTTCAATCCCAAAAGCACTCTGTTCAAGTCCACCAGCTGCTCCCTGGGAGAAAGATGGACAATTGCCTTCTGTGCAATTAACTGCCTCTGAAAACCTACCAGAGGGCCAGCCATAGATCAACTCCAACTCAATGGCACAAAACAACAACCATCACATGATAAGGGAGCTCTGGGGGCTTAATGGTAAGAAGCTGTTCTGCAAACCCAAAGACACACGGTCGGAATATACCAGCTGCTGTGGGAGAAGGATGGGCAATCTCATCCCATCTGATGTACTGCCTCTGAACACCCACTGAAGGATCCGTTATAAATCAGTTCCTACTAGGTTACAGCAACCACAGCAACAACTACATAATAGGGGACCTTTGGTGGCCTAGTGGTTAGAAAGTCGTGCTGTCAGCTCAGAAGTAGGCATTTCAAATCTACCAGCTGCTCCCTGGAAGAAAGAAAGACAAGCTCTTCCTAAGCAATTTACAGACTGAAAATGTACTGGAGGATCACCTATGAGTTGATTCTAACTCAACTGCAATGAATTAAGTGTGATACACACTCAACAAATATTTATTGAATGAACAAATCAAGAAAGAAATAGTAAATGAATGAGAATGTGTCATAAACAGGGGCCACTTTCTTTCGTACATCAAATGAAATGCATTCAGGAGATATTTTCTCCTGCTAAAAAATCCAAGGAGATAAACTTGATCTACTTAGTAATTTTCACTTTTAACTTTTCTACAATATTACCTTTTCCTTACATCTTTTTAACTAGGGAAGAGTCAGCAATAATGCTAAATACATGAAGAAGGAAATACAAATAGATTACACTTGATGCATTCCACAAACCTGATTAAGATGCAAAAAGTAATTAAAAAGACAGTAGGAGGGGGAAGTGAGATAAAAATGAACACCAGAAGAGATTCTGAAACTTTCTTTTTAATACAGTGTAGTTAATGTGGACAGATAAAATTGTGAAGTAAAAAGAATTGAACAGAAGATTGCAAAGGGCATCTCAGGAAAACAAGTATGATAATGAAATGTGCAAAGACCTGGAGTTAGGAAACAAAGAAGAACAATTTTGGCATTTCTCAAGATGAAAGAATTGAACAAATTCGAGCCTCCAGTAGTAATACTGAAGGATTTTATGGGCAAAATATTGAATGACACAGGAACATAAAAATTAGATGAAAGCAATATATAGTCACTATACCAAAATTATTTGGCTAAGTTAAAACATTTCAGGAGATAACGTATTTTGTCAAGAATCAAAAATACTGATTGAAGTTCAAGCCACTCTGAAGTCATTAATAAAGCTTGTCTCAAGTATTTTGTAGAATATAAATTAAGATGTTTAAAGCAACAATTGATTACATTCTTAATCCATTAACAAGTCAACAAACAAGTGATTAAGGAAACACATGATTATGTTAAAAAATAAAAAAAGATAGCTACCTAGCCAAGTTATTGTAATAGATGCACATGTGTGTCTATTCTAAAAAAAGTGTCATAACAGAATGAATAAATTATTCAAAAATATCATTAAAATCATATACAAGTAAAATTTTGCCAAACATCATTTTTAAATGGTGGCAGTAATTTATTAACAAGGAAATGTTAGAAATTCTAGCTAGATAATGATTGCTAGTATCAGATAGATCTTGACTGAAAGCAGAGATTACATTAAGGATTTTTAACCATGTTTTTTTTACTAAGAAAGAACATTTGAATGTATAGATCAGAACAAATTACAGATAATATTATAAATAATATGAATTTTAGAGCACATAACTACCTACTCATGAGGAATATATAGGTAGACCAAGAAGCAGTCTATCAAATACAACAAAGGAATACTGCATGGCTTAAAGTCAGGAAAGATATGAATTACTCAGAATTGCATCCCCTCGCAATACTTATTTATTACTCATGTTGAATGAATGATCCAAGACTCTGGACTACATACAGAAAAACTTAACATCAGGATTGGAAAAAGACTCACTAAGAATCTTTGATTTGCTGATGACACAACCTCGCTTGCTGAAAGTGCAAAGGACTTGAAGCATTTGCCAAAGGATCAAAGCCTTCAGTATGGATTAAGCTCTGCATAAAGAAAACAAACAAAGCCAAATTTGCTGTGCAAATTTTCCCTCAAAGCTCAAAACAAGTAAATAAATTAAAAAAAAAAACCCAAACACACATCACCTTCACAACAGGGCTGATAAACAACGCCATAATAACAGAGAGAAGATTGTAGTTGCCAAGGCTTCCGTTTTACTTGAATCCAGCAGTAAAAAACATCAAACCACTTTATATTGAGCTAATCTAATCTCCTCCAAAGGACTTCTTTTAAAGTTATAAAACTAAAGACACCACTTGAGTGTTCAAGTACTCCTGTCCCAAAGGCGTGATATTTTAAATTACTTTGTTTTAACGTGAAAACTTAACTATGAATAAGGAAGTTCAAAGAATTGATGCCTTTGTATTATTTTGCCGTTGGCGAGCCATATGGATGGTAGGTAGCATGGACTGTTAGTCTTTATTAGGAAAAATACAACTAGAATATTACTAATATTTGAGGGTGGCAGAATATAGTTTCACATTGTTGGGCATTTTTATCAGGAAAGACTGACAGTTGGAGATCATAATGATTGGATGAGGGTCAACAAAAAAGAAGAAAATCTTTAAAGAGATAATTTAAAGCAGTGGTTGCAATAATGGGCTGAAACATGCCAAAGTTTACCTGGCCCAGGACCAGGAAGTATTTCTTTCTGTCACTCGCAGGGTCACTGTGTGTAATAGCCAGCATCATTATAGATAGAGAAAAGATCAAAGTTATTGACCATTTCATCTTGCTCGTATCCACAATCAACAATCACCCTTCACCACCAGCAGTCAGGAAATCAAAAGAGGAGTTGCACTGGGAAAATCTGTTGCCAAGGACCTTTCCAGAGTGCTAAGTAGCTAAAATGACAGTTTAAAGTCTAAGGTGTGCTTGATTCAGGCCATGGTCTTTTCGATTACTTGCTACTCATCTGAGAGTTGGACAATAACTAAGGATGATTGAAGAAGAGTCGATACCTTTTCGCTGGAGAAGAGTATTGAACACACCATGGTGTGCCAAGAGCATAAATAAAGTCTGTGCTGGAGATGCTGAAAGCAGGTTGCTCCTTGGAGGCAAGGATTTTGAAGCTTCGTCTCACACACTTTGGGCATGTTGTCAGGAGGTACCAGTATGTGCAGAAGGACATCAAGCTTGAGGGGTAGACTCTGAATGAGATGGATTGACACAGTGACTCTGGTAATGCGGGCAGGAGTATCAGAGACAGGGAGGTTGGCTCAAGATAGAGCAAACATTGTTCATAGGGTCACTGTGGATTGTAGTCAACTTGACCACACATAACTACAACAATAATGAGCCAGAACTGATTCACTGGAATCACCAACTCAACGAATGAATCGAGGAGCTGTGGTATATTCACACAATGGAATACTAACTACATTGCTTTAAAAACAAAGAACTCATGAAATATTATACAAAATGGGTGACCCTGGAGGACATCATGCTGAGTGAAATATCTTGCTCACAAAAAGAACAAATACTGTATAGTGCCACTTTTGTAAAAATATAGTGACATCAGGTTTGGGGGGAGACTGAGAAAGGTGGGATAAATTATGTAACAGATATTATTGTCATGACAGGAGTCCAGAACAAAGGTTGCATAGTGGAGTGGACTTGGGGGGAGGGATTGTAAAACCATGAAAGAATTTTTCTTTTACTTTTCAAAGAGAAGAACAAACTGGGCAAGTGAGGGGTGGGCAGGGAGAAAAGTGCAACAATAAATGAACGGAAATATTAAAAAAAGTTAACATTATTAAAAAGATTAACTACTAACAGTAGAATAAAAGTTAACAGATTAACAGTCTAACATAAACTGTTTGCTTCTTATAGAGACATTATATTATTGTACTCCCTTAATTACAAATAGTGCTAATAGCACACTTGATAAAAAAAAAAACCAACTCTATTTCAAATTAATAAGACTGCTTGTACAAAATTAGAAAAAATTTGCTTTGCTTAATAATTATACTTCTAAAAGAATCAAATATGTCTTATATCAATTTTGGATTTGCCTAAGACACCAAGAAGTAGAAATAAATAAGTAAGATTAAAAAGGAGTTAAGTGTATTTAATGCTCATAAACCCATGGTCTAAGGAAATTCCTCGAAAGCAGAGCCTGAGATGGTACAAGATATTAGTTGGAGGAATGCTCTAAAGTGAAACTTATAAAGACAAATTGGTCAGAGACGGAAACTAAGCTGAAGTCTAGCTTTAACCTGATTCCACATGAAAATCTAAAAAGATTTGAAAGGGAATGACATTGCAGACTTGTCCCAAAGAAGAAGGGATTTTAATTCATGTCAGTCATTGACCACAGGATTTCTGTTGCCATCAAGATAATTCCAAATCATGGTGACTCCACGAGTCGTTGAGTAGAGATGTGTTTCATAGGATTTTGAAGGATGTAAGCTTTTGGAAGCAGATCATCTGCCCTGCCTTCCAAAGATCCTCTATGTGAGTTTGAACTGTTAAAGTTTTGGTTAATAATATAATACTTAACTGTTTGTGCCAACCAGGACTTCTAGTTCCCCCCCTTACTTTAATCATCTGGCCAGGTCTTCACTGGCTTTGAGAAATTCTCTAAAGTGGGATGCTTCTTTGATCTTTTCATCACTTCCAGCTCTGAGGGATGGGGACAAAGGGACATGGGTGGTGTACCAAAAATAAATGTAACAGCAGCAGATATGTATAATCTAGAGTATCCTATGCAAACAACAGTCTAATTCACATGGAAACACCTGTTCTCTTTTAGGTGTTTAAAACTGAAATCGCCTTATAGTGTTTGTTCTGGAAGAAGACCACTGTGAGACTTTTGCAAGAGAATTCCATGAAGCTTGTGAAAACCAGTGGCTCCAAAACAGAAATCTTCAGATGTAACAAGAAAAAGCTCAAGCTGACTAGACTTGAAAAAAAGAAAAGAATAGAAGTTGGGATCACAATGAGATCAGAGGCAAAAACTCAATGCTGCTCTTCAGACTTTGCACTTGATAGGGTGCCATGGGAGTCAAGAGAATAAGCTTCTGTGACAGAAGTCAAGTTCACTGTCCGGCTCTGGTTTTGCTGTCATTGGGTGGTTACCGTCTCATTGCAGAAAGACAGAGTTTCAGGCTTCTGATCATGGTAGACGTAAATTTTCATGGGAATAACGATCAGCCTTGCAGCAAGCAAAAGCAGTGTCAAGTCTGGGTTCTTCAAGTGCTTGCTACGAGCATTTGAGACCATTAGTGACCACAACAATAGGCTTGAGTGGGCGGAGATCGTGAGGATGGCATAGGCTAGGGCAAGGCTGTTGTTTATGAATCACAGTTGATTTGACGGTACCTAATAACAACAACATGAGTGTTCCACCTTGATGGCAATGAGAGAGAATTTCTTTAAGTCCAGGAACCCGGGTGGAGCAGTGGTTACAACTCTCAGCTAACCAAAATGTTGAGAGGTCACACAAGAGAAAGATGTGGCAGTTCTGCATCAACAGAGATTTACAATCTTGGAAGCCCTGTGTACTCTGTCTTATAGGTTATATGTCAGAATAGACTCATCGGCCATACAGTTTGTTTTCTCTGTGTCTATTCACTTTAAGAAAGTAGAATCAAATGTGCTGTTATTATGGTGTCCCAAAGACAGTGATGTCAATGTTCACAATGAAGACAGCATTACAGCAGTTACAGTGGACCAAACTATGCTCAAGAGGAGAAAGTGGGATGTCCAGAGCAAACACAAAGTCAGCTTGTCACTACACTGCACAGCCTTTATCTGTGAAATATGAAATAAGCTAAAGAGTTTTTGAAGATTGAGAACAGTCTTGGATATTGAGCCCAGTGTAGGCAAAACATTTCTTTTTCTGAATGGATTATAAACATTATTGTTGGACTCATTGTTGTCCCAAATGCTTTTGTTTGCTGGCTCTCTTCCTATTGTTGGTGGAATTTTTTCACAGGTCAACAGCCAAAGTGGAAATTTTCCTTACTGTTCTGAATGCTTGATTATAGCTTTTTCATAGTAAGAGAGGAAAACGGAGCTGTGGTGGAAATGTTTTCTTTCACATAATTCAAGTTCAGTGCACATATGTTAACTTCTCAGGGCTTAGATTTAATTTTTCAACTTTAAACTTTGACAGTGGTAGATAAAAAAAAATATTCTATATCTGCCTTGAAGGTGAAGTTAGTCTCAAGGTCCCTACCCCACCCCAATCTGTAACGCCACATTGGGTGTATATTTTACTATATGGTAATTTAAGAATTTGATCATAAAGAAAACTAAACTAATGAAATCAAAGAATAATTATATCTGCCATTTTTCTTTTCAGTTCAATCTAAAACAATGCAAGTGCAGCTAGGGTACTCCTTGGAGACAAGGATGGTGAAGCTTTATCTCAGTTTTTTGGGTATGTTGTTAGGAGGGGCTGTGAAAGAGAGGAAAACCCTCAACAAGATGGACTGACACAATAACTGTAACAATGGGCTCAAATATATCAGAGGTGATGAGGATGGAAGAATATGGCAAAGTTCAGATCTATTTTTCATAGGGTCTTATGAGTTGTAGTCAACTCAATGGTACCTAGCAACAATATGTGAAGTAGAAAGCAAAACAATTTTCATCACGAGACTGGTTAAGAAGAGGATTGGGTCAAATTGCAATATTTACATTGGTAGACTGAAAGCAGGAGTGGCATCCACTTCCTAGATATCATGCCTCCAGAAACTCTATGAACTTTGATTAATGTCAATAGTTGTAGAGGGGCTTTGGGCCTTTTGTTCATAGGGTCACTATGAGTTGTGCTAGACTCAAAGGCAATCAACAACAACAAAAACAGTTTGGAAACAAGCCTCTCATTTATATTGTTATGGCGCTTAATTCATGACTGAATCAAAGCTCTACGTCCTGCTTTCCTTTGCGTAGAAGGCATGAAGAGGCTCTGTTTTTGCTTTCAGGAAGAATTTAATGCCGACACACGACAGGTCAGCACTTTCCACATGTCCTCATGCAGTGCACGGGGTTACATCATACCAAGGAGAGAGGAGGTGAAGGTTCCTCCCAGTGACTACAGCGACCACACCTAGAAAGCTATGCTCTTCCTGGGCATTTAAAAAAGATATACGAAAGCTGGGGAGAGTCCAGGAAGAAACAACAAAACTTAATTAAGGCAATGGAAAGACTGTATCCTGATGAAAAGAAAGGAGAATTTGTACCAGCATCTGGAGAGGCCATAACCTAAAACAGGGCACATATTGCCTGTGCATACTTATAGACTGTAAACACAGTATAACTAAAATTTCAATTGCACCAAAGAAAAAGTCAAAATTCCTAGATTGCCAAGTGAAAAATTAAACCAAAACAAGAGATTAAGGTTTTTTCTCATTCGTTAATGGCATAAAAGCCACCCAAAGTAATGATATGGAAACTCGGATTGTGGTTCATGGGAAGCCAGTATTGTATGGCCTGTGACAAAAAAAAAAAAAAAAAAATCTGTGATTTCATAATTCAGCAGGAGAAAGATGGGCAATCTGCTCCCTTGTGATCTACAGCCTCCGAAAACCCATGGAGGGTCAGCTATGAGTCAGTTCTAAGTAGAGGGTACACAGCAGAAAAGGACAGACAATTAAGTGGGGGCATCATGTAAGACAAAAATGATGGTTTCTTTCTGGAATCTGGAGTTAAATAAAAATGGTTGAAAGATCCATTCATTTCTCCCATTGATGATCATGTCTCCTCCCTGTGTTGATCATTTAGTTTTTTAAGACACACGCTTTCGTGAACTGTGGAACACATTGTCAGCATGCTGACATTCACTGATACTCTCTTCTTTAGCATGTCAGTGTATCATCGGGGCAGATTCTCACAGATACTACAACAGGATTTCAATTTTCTGCCCTTGTGTCTTCTTTCTTAAAATAAGGTGTAGGATTATGCTTTCATAACTTCAAAAAAAGGATCAATTATAATAATTTCCTCTTTCTAGTACTTCCTTGCACAGTACAAATTGAACCCTTTCATGTCAAAATGTCCATTTTGGTGGCATCAAGACGCACATTCATTCTAGTGACTTGAAAAAAATCCGAATAACCAGGTAAATATAAGAATTTAAGCTTTTGATGTTGAACATGAGAACACTTCTCCTTAAACAATCCATCTGACTTCTCTCTGTTGCTGGGTCTAACACACTCTTTGTGGTGTGATATAAATATTGATATCCTGCAACCCACACACTAGGGAAGGGTTACCAGCATCTCTGTATTGCAAAACATCACTCTTTCTGGCTTACATCATGGCTGCATGACATCAGGCAACTAGCATCTGCCAAGATGAACTGGAAGTGTTGAAATTTAATTTGTCAGACTCTGGCACAGTTAATATGGGTGAGCCCACAAATCTGCTGAAACCTTTGATGCGGGCCTATTCAGTAGTACTTCTGAAACATATCTTTCAAATTCAGCTCAGATTTCTGTTAATTATTCAATCAATCAATGTACTCACAGCTTGGAGTACCAAGCATTAAACATTTAATTTCTTAAGAAACCAAAGACTAGATTCCTTAAGTGCTCACATGAATAAATGTGTTCCCTATTATCTTTCACTCCTCGGCTGAAATGAAACACGATAAACTTGCCAGATTGTGCAGACATTCATTCATTGCTTCCAAAGAAACAACTCATGAAGATTAACAATGTGATTACTTGGTAATAAAGAAAATAAAGTTGTTTGTTGTTGATAAGTGCTGTGGAATTGACTATGACTCATAATAACCCTAGGAACTATGGATCTTGAATTCCTTTGCTAATCTTTGACACACTGTAGCCCACCATTAAAGTCATTGTGTCAGTCAATGTTTCTGAGGGTCTTCCCATCTTTTGCTGACTCTTCACCTTTTCAAGAATGATGTCCTTTTCCTCCTCCTCAAAACATGCCCAGAGTTTGTGAGGGGAAGTTTCACTATCTTTGCCTCCAAGGAGCACCCTGGCTACACCTTTTCCAAGGCATATTTTGTCCTTTCGGCAGTTCATGGCATATTCATCACTCTTCCCCAACCCTACAACTCAAAGGCATTGATTCTTCTCCTGTCACCCTTACTCATTGTCCAACTTTCTGATGCACAGCAATCAATTGAAAAGATCGTAGTTTGGATCAGGTGCACCTTAGTCTTCAAACTGACATCAATGCTTTTTAGCACTTTGGAGAGGTCCTTGACAGCTTACTTTGCCAGTACATCTCTGGATTTCCTCACTGCTGGTACCCATGGTGTTGATTGTGGGTACAAATAAGTAGAAGTAATTGACAAATTCTATCTCTCTTTTTCTATACTTGTTAGCCTTTCTTTGTAAGTTTATGCCACAGAAATTAAAGCACAACTCATTTTGAATTAAACTTGGTTAAGACAAAATTTGCAATTAATTTTAGTTTGAGATTGTATGTTTTCTTTGTAGTTATCAAACTAGCAGTGCTTTCAAGTGTTCAGATTTTAATAAAATCACCTATTTCCCTTGTAGAAATTTAGAATTTCACTACATTGATTCAGTAAGAGCCCCTGGGCATTGCAAATAGTTATAATAAACTTAGCTAGCTACTAACTAAAAGGTTGGAGGTTTGCGTCTACCCATAGGCACATGAGAAGAAAACCCTGGTTTTGAAAACTTGAAGGAACACATTTCTGTTCCTACATGCATAGTGTCACCATAGTTGGAACCAGTGTGATGCTAACTGGCATTGATACAATTAAATTCTTTCACAAATCTAGTTGAAGGAACAATATAACATGTCTTTCAGATCAGCTGAGGATAGGGCCGGGTTTGGAGTTATTGTTCATAGAGTT